AGAAAGAGAGAGAGAGAGAGAGAGAGGACAGTGGAGAGAGCTTAGACCACTGTTTCGTCCACAGGAGGTCCAGTTCCCCAGCTGGCAGAGCACCACTAATGTGCCACCGACGCTCTGGCAAAGGGCCCTAGGGTGGCACATAATATATCGTTCTCTGTCATTCTTTACCTCCTGTCCAGCTTTTCCTGACCCCCCATTATGGTCTGGCTAAGCACAAAAAAACCCAGAGTATAATATACCATCTTGTAACCCGCTTCCGAAACAGTGGGTTGACATGTCGCTACCTCAGAATTACAAAGTTCCATCATCTAACTAGTTTTGAGAAATTTAACGTCAATTTTGTTTTATAGTTTCACAGCATTTCAAGCTTTTCGAATGCACTTCTCTGAATATATTAATAACGACTCTGAATATTCCTACAATTTTGATATAGGGCAGATAGAGCATTAGCTTTTTGACCTTATGGACGTGGTAACTCAAAACGGTCAAATATGTCAGATAGAATTTTGTGATTCCCAGGTAGCGATGTACGTAGCAGGGCGACAGACCAATAAACCAGTACTTCTGTTAACTGTTTACACCACATGACGAGTGGCGAGAAGAAAGGTGATCCTTTTCCGTTTAAAATAAGTGCGGTATTCATTATGTAATACATGTCAGCAAATCCAATATGACATGGAAACGAAACATTTTTCTCAAATTTGATTACGGAGTATAAGACTCTTTACTGATATGTGTGAAATTTGGTAAAATTTGGTAAATTTTGGTATTCTATTAAGCGAGATAGCCTTCAGGTTTAGACCCCCCCCCCCCTAAAAAGCCTCAGAGTCTGAAGAAATTGACAATTTGCATTTTCTATACGTTTTTTAAATATAGTTCACACTGAAATGAGTTCTTAAATGGACATAGAAAATGTTGAGCTAAAAAACACAATTTCGATTTTAAAAAATTGCCAAACCAGCGGAAAATTTAAGTTTCTTTACGACTTTCATTATTTTGATGAACGCGTGAGGAGCTCTACTGATGCCGATGGAGAAAAAGTAGCGTGGAAAAGTTCACTGTCTTCGGAAAACTGCAAAGTTACATTTTTTGATACTTTTGATCAATAAAAAAAAATTAAATCAAAACAAGAAAGGAATGTACTAAAAAATTGACTCAAAAGGTGTTAAAAAAGGACAAAAATTATGCAAGGGTCTGTTAAGATATTATAATCTTACACAATGCATGGAAAGGGGGGGGGGGTTGGCTCCTGTAAGAAAAAAGTAATTACGGGGTGTGGGTCTTGAACAAATGTAATAATTACACTTTCAGGAAGTGAACAAATAACAAGAAACAAAAGGGTGGCCTTTAAAAAAAAAAAAGGCCAAGAGTGTGCAGAGGCCACGTCGGATGTGGACAATAATGATTTTCCAAGTATTGCCGCATTGAAGAAGTACAGGGTTTTACACAGGACGGAGGAAGAAATGGAGGTGCAGGAGGAAGAGGAAGAAGAGGAAGAAGAGGAGGAAGAGGAGAAAGAGCAGGAACCAGACCCAGATTTGGAAGACAGCTCAGCAGATACCCTGTTTTTAAAAAATATTTTTGACATA